CTTATTGCGTTCATCATGTTTTTTCTGAAGATGTATAACTCTATCGGGATCAAACTTGGTAGAATTGGAAGACCACGAACTAAATCTTGTATTGAGCAAAAGGCCTCTACGGAGAACGCATATACCTCGGAATAAAATTTTGGTTGACCTTCAATTGGACGGAATGCCTGAAGTTTCTTTATAATTTCATCCACGGAATCTTCTACTGCACCCACGCCTTCATAAAATTCAATTTGTCCCCGTAGAACTTTCTCGAGTAAACCAAGAACTTTGTCCAACAGAGAGTCCATTGCGTGTGCTGTAGATTTTTTTTTTTGTATTTTTTTGGGTGAGTTCAAGAATGAAAGCACCAATTGATACAAGAACGTATGAGATGAAGGCAAAAGATTAAGAAATTAGAGAAGGTGGAGAGTCTAGAGAAGAAGAAGAAGAAGACAAGTCAAGAGGGAGGGGAAAAAACGGCCAAAAGCCAAGGAGGAAGAGAGAAGAATATTTAGGGTTAAAGGATAATTTCTTTATTGATAATCTCATTCTTAAGTACAAATGTCTCAATATATAGAATAGAATTCTAAAGGTAAAGGAAGTTCCAAACTTTAAAAGGAAACTAAATAAACTAGGAATCCTATTAAATATAATATTCCCTAATAATAATTAACTAAGTATAAATAATTCTTTACCTACAATAATAATAATAATAATAATAATAATAATAATAATAATAATAATAATAATAATAATAATAATAATAATAATAATAATAATCCCGTAACAGATGCATCCAAATCTGTAGTAGAGAAACGTATAACAATCTTAGAACGGATTTAGTAGGGTTTGGAAAAATCAAAATTCAAATTAGGGTTAAATGTATTCTTTTTTCTTTCATGTACCTTAGGTTTTTTAATTTAATTATTTTGTGTATTGTTTTAAATTCATGTAATAAATGAGTGTTTATATTAATTTTTTTGATGCATTTAATAAAGAAATGAAATAGAATAAGCGTGAAAAATGTTATAATTAATTTATGTTATCATTTTATAAATAATACTCCCTCCGTCCCACAAAATCTTCATGGTTTTGATTTTTAAAAGATCTAAGGGAAGTGTATTTGGTGTTGACTTTCCAGAGATACTCTTAGATGTGATGGGTAAACGTAAGATTAGATGGATAATTTAATAGTAATAATGTATGATGTGATAGGTAAGTTTAAGAATTAGTAAGCGTAAAAGTGAATTTTTAATAGAAATGAGAATGCTTTTTAAGACGGATGAAATAATTAAGAAAAGGGAAATGTTTTTGAACTGAAGGAGTTGAATTTAATTTGAATAGAAATAGGTAAATATTTAAAAAATAAAAATGTAATCCTCGCGGTGGATGTAAGACACTATAAGTATGAAGTGAGTGAGATGATGAGTGTTGTCAGCGTAAATGTGACGTACGTTGAGTGGCGCTAAGTAGAAGTTGATTTGGAGTGAGAGGTGATGGAACGCTACATATAACTTTACTTGAAAACCAACTCTAGGTACCATTCATGAAAGCTTCTGCATAATTCATACTTGCTCCGTCTCAAATTAAATTTCTTATTTACTATTCACACGTTCAAAGTTTATTCATTTTATTTCTCTATTCTTGTTAGTCATTTGAAAAAATAAATAGTCATGTCACCACTAATTTTGTCAATCTTTGAAATGTAGTTTGTAAAAATGTAATTTTTATTTTTTTTAATTCTACACCATTTTTCAAATAAATAAATTTGAAAATAATTTTAGTCAAACATCGTAAACTGAATTATGCGATTTAAATTGAGACGAAGTTAGTATTTGTTTAGGTACCAAAAATAAAAACGGTCCGGTTCTAGGCCACTGGATTTCAGTGGCGACGGAAGCCACTGCCCCCCTACGGAGCTTCGTTTATAAAATTGATTATTCTTACATACCCCCTACCCCCCGGTAAACCCCCCGCCAAGTCCCGACCCAAATTCATACCCCACCTACGTCTATTGCACCTCGTAAGTATAAAGTCAAATTTTTTTTCTTTAAAGTCAATTATACTTATGAGGTGCAATTGACGTAGGTGTGGGGATGAGTTTTGGTCGGGACTTGGCGGGGGGGGGGGTTACCGGGGGTAGGTATCATCAATTTTATAAACGGAGCTCCGTAGGGGGCAGTGACTTCCGTGACCACCGGAATCCAGTGGCAAAACCGGGCCGAAATAAAAGATAGCTTACCATATGAAATTTACCTGATATACTACCATACCTAAAATTTACCGGATCTACTCCACTACTCTTACGTTTCATTTGTGTGTAGGAAACAATTAAACCCTAGCATGGAATTCAAGGTTGGTGGTCTCGAGAGAATTCAAGTTTGGGTCATGTTCGAGATTTGTTGATTCAATTTTGTTTTGAAATAACAATCAATTTATTTGTTCTTGCCCATAAATCAATTGATTTTGTTTTTATTTTTATTGATCCAAAGTGGTGATTTTATCTCCTGTACATGTGTTCTGAATTACAAATGAAAAACAACCTGATGAGATGAAAAATGACCACAAAGGTGGCTTGTTTGCGAAAAAGCACATGAGTGGTTAGGAAAACCAAGAATTCATATCCTTAATTATCACCATCTATATCAATTGTATTAGGATTCCGATTCATCCTACAGTTTATATGTCAACTTTGAATTGCAGTTCTGGATAATATTCAGAAGTAGCAATATGCTTTGCCTTTCGTTCGAATGCAATAATTGCTGAATTTCGGGCTTTTGTTCGAGAGCGGATATAAGAGTGCCAAGGGTGATGCAGCACAGGACCTAGATGGTGCAACGGCATTGGCACTTGTCTTTCATGCAAAGCACGACAAGCGCCGGAAGGGGAAGAACTAGCCTTTTAGGGTACTGCCACGCTGTTTTGGACATAACTTTTGTTAGGAGTGTCTGTTCTCAGCGTGCGAGCACTTTCTGGAAAGGTTTCAACGAGGGGGTTCAGCTTTGACCTCAAATTCGCTCGTTTAGGTTGCCATTTTGCAGTTTTATTGTTTTTGGGCCTATGACCTCTTTTATGTTCAACCCATTTATTTCTCATTCATAGGCCCGTTTTGACTTCTATTCACGTAGGGTTTCAGTCACCCTTGTTTTCAATAGCTCGGCTTGTGGGCTTCTTTCATTCAGACTTGAATTATTTCATATTATATCATAACCCTAGCGTGAAATTTTCCCCTAGCGATTATTCTCTTTCTATTTTATTTGTTGTTCTCTTAGCTTCGTTCTGTCCCTACGCCTTGATTCAATTTGCCGTCAATTGGTATCAGAGATCAGTTCGACGAAAAGGAAGATTATCCTGCGTGCATAAGGTCACGATTGTGGGCAGCCTAAGGGTGATGAACCCCCCTGACGAGAGCGGCGCCTTGAGGACGTGGAGGTGATAGCAGATCTACAACGAGGTTATGCGAAAGCAGATCGTGGAACTCACACAGCGCATGGCGGTGCGAGATTTGGAGAATCACGAGGAGTTAGATCAGGGCTCTCGGTCTTTGTTTGAGAACCCCTATCATTGCAATCCTCGCGGTCGTGATTTTTGCGTCCGTGATGACTATCGTGGAGGGCTAGGGTTTAAGGTGGAAATCCCTAGTTTTTCAGGAACCCTGCACACTGATGATTTCATTGATTGGCTAAACGAGGTGGATCGGATCTTCGAGTATAAGGAGGTTCCGGATCATGACAAAGTGAAGCTCGTTGCGATCAAACTCCAAGGACGAGCCTGCGCATGGTGGAAACAGATGCAGCGATCCCGTGAGAAGAAGGGCAAGCCAAAGGTCAACGATTGGGAGAAAATAAGGGGTAAGATGAGGGCACGCTTTCTTCCCTTCAGATACACCCAAACCCTATTTCAATTACTCCATACGTTGAAACAGGGAACGAGGTACGTTGATGATTACACCAAAGAATTCTACCAAATGATTGCCCGAAACAATGTGTCTGAATTGGATGAGCAGCTTGTGGCCCAATATCTGGAAAGCTTGCGTTAGTCCTTGTAGGATGTTCTCAACCTCCAATCATTATGGACTGTTTCTGAGGCATGCAAAAGGGCCCTTGCAGTTAAGAAGCAGTAGAGCAGGAAGCTGGTGACCAACAACCGCTTGGCTCGAGTAGTACAATTAAGGCTCCATTCCGTCCAACTTATTTTTTTAATCCGATCTGATTTTTTGTAGTTTTGATCTAGTCTGATTTGATCTGATCTGATTGGATCTGATCTGAGTGGATCTAATCTGATTTGATCCTATCTGATTGGATCTGATTTGATCTGATTAACTATGATTTGATTTAAAATTCAAATCAAGAATTTGATTTGACTTTATAATAACATCTGAAAATTGTAATGATAATTCATATTATAATATAATCAATATTTTTTATTTTATGATTTTTTATAAAATAAAATTACGTAATTCATATATTAGAATAATCATTCATACTATAATGTAATAATATTTTTTATTTTATGATTATTATTTTTGAAATTAGAATATTAATTTAATATTTTAATAATTACTTCATATATACATTAGAATAAATATTTAATTTATATATACATTAAAAAGTAATGAAATTTAGATAATCATAATATAAAAAAGATTGTATTTTTATTAAAATATCTCATCCTTATAAAAGATCAAAACATTAGAAACTAAAATTAAAAGTAGCAATAAAATTGTATTTTAAAAATAGAATTAGATTGACATTGTTAATGTATTTTAAAAATAATTTTGATGACGTATAATAATTAAGGATTACTTTCTCTATTTTCTATTTAACTTGTTTCTAAGGATTATTCTTTTTCATTTTTAATAATAATAATAATAATTCTTGATGGGATCTGATCTGATCTGCTTGGATTTGATCTGGTTTGCTCTGATCTGATTGGATCTGATCTGATCTGATTGGATCTCATATGATCTGATTGGATCTAATCTGATACGATCTGGTCTGATCTGATTAGATTTGATTTTATTAAGATTAAGAAAAAATAAGAAAAAATAATTTGAACGGAATGGGGCCTATGTGCTATCGTTGTGGTGAACCTAGACATAGGACGAATGAATGCAAGAAACCCGCTCTACAGAAAAGCAACAGCTTATTCGTGGAGGAGAACATCGTTGTTGGCGATTATGAAGTTGAAGAGTCTGGAGATCAAGTCTGTGATGATTATGCAGAAGATAATTTTCTTTACGAAGACGGTCGAGAGAATTTAGTTGTGCGCAAGAGTCTTCTGGCCCCAAAGGATGACACTAAAGATGATTAGTTGAGGACAAACATCTTCCACACAACTTGCACCATTGGAGGAAAAGTTTGCAAAATGATCGTGGATGGTGGCAGTTGTGACAACATCGTTTCTAACGAAGCTATCCGGAAGTTGCAGTTGAAGACGGAACGCCACCCAAAACCCTACAAGTTGTCTTAGCTGCACAAGGGTTCTAAGGTAGCAGTCGATAGGAGATGTAACGCCCCGAATTTAGGCCTAAAAGAATTTATTAATTTAAATATCAATTAATGACTGAGACACACCCAAACACTGAAAATTAAAAGTTTTTAGAAAAATATTTTAATTATATCAAAATTTTAGTTTTGACAGTGTGATTCCAAATATGCGATTCGTTTTCAATTCGGAACAGTTTGGGCGAAAAAGCGCGTACCGTTTTAGCCAGTTTATCAGTTACAGAGTAGGAGAATAATTTTGATTCCCCAAAACCTCCAAGTCACATAGAGACATCCTTCCCTATCCCTTCCCATCCCCAATCAAACCACCTTAGGAACCCCACTAACACATACCTCCAAATTACCTTTCTTATAATATCACCCTACCACCACCATCATCATCCTCATACACTATCACCATCATCCATCCAACATTCATCCCCTCCCCATTCTCTCTCTGTCGGCAGCAACTCAGGAGGAAGAAAACACAAAAATACTCCATGAGGTTGCACGGTTTTCAGGGAGATCATGAGGTTGCCCGGTTTTCCCACCTATATTTCAGGGAGATCATGAGGTTGCACGGTTTTCCTTGTTCTGTCACCTTAGTTTGTGATACAAAGTTCATGAGCCAGTTCTAGAAGAGTTTATAGAAGAAGATAGGCACCAACCTGAACTTTAGCAGTGCATATGATCCTTAGACTGATGGCTAGACAGAGGTGGTAAACCGAAACTTGGGGAATCTTTTACGTTGCTAGGTAGGTTCAAAACCAAAGTAGTGGGACTTGGCTCTTCCTCAAGCAGAGTTTGCCTACAACAGATCGATGAATAGGACCACTGGACTAAGCCCATTTCAGGTTGTCTTGGGGCAGAACCCATCAGGCGTGCTGGACTTAACCCCTATTCCACGAGTGGGGCACATTCATCCAAAAGCTGAGGAGATGACAGAGCACCTAGTCAGCGTACATGACCAGGTAAATGAATA